TTCACTAGATGAAATGTAATAATGAATGTGAAAATTCTTAGAAACAAATGAAGTACTATTCAAATTTAAAATTTTATTGTTAGTGTCTACGTATTTGTATTGGAAAAAGTAAATTTAGAACACAAATGACAGAGCTGGTGAGTAGCCTGTCTTTAACCAGTATTTCTACCTTGCCATTATCTTCTACATCTTTGTATTCCTACTGCAAATCTTTCCAGCAAAATATATCACCAACAGTAAGAATCAAAAAGTTAGCCCTCTCTTGACCCTTTTGGTCAGATATCACAACCTAACATAAGAGACAGTATTTCCTGTTTACCTTGAAGGTATTAAGGCGAAACATAGAGTAGTTATATTACCAGAGGAAGCTAAGTGGCCCAGTGGATAGAGCAATGGGCCTGAAGAGAAGAAGGCCTAAGTTTAAATCTGGCCTTAGACACTAATTGTGTGACCCTGGGCAAGTCACTTAACCTTTTTGTGCCTGAGTTTCCTTAACTATAAAATGGGGATAATGATACCTAACTCTGAGGATTGTTGCAAGTATCAAATGAGATGATATTTTGTAAAGCACTTAGCATGGTGCCTGTGTGACATATGAAAAGTTCCAGAGACATTGTTTCTGGGTAATTAATAATCAATTTTATTAATTATGGCTAGCAGATAATTAATAAAGTGATGGTAGCTTGGCTTTCTCTTATAAACCAAAGACAAATTATGGAGGCCACTAAATGCTTATTACCCAGGAAGAGTGGGTGTTCCCAACGGGCAGAAATCGACTCTGATTGCTTAGCAATTATGAGAGAATGAATATTATAAAAGAGGTGGGCCTATTCTAATAAGGGCTGGGGTGAATAAGTCATTCTTATCTCTATTCAGACTACTCCCACCTCAGGCAATCTAGTCAAAGGAATCTACCTCCGCCCAATGCTGCCTGATTAGAACACAACAGGCCAGAATTCACACTAGATTTTCTAGTTAAGTTGGGTCCCACTTAAGATCAAAAAGCATGTACCAGAGGATTTTGGCCATCTCCTCTATCAGCTGTGTCCTTCAGTGACTGACTGAATAACATACAGGGTTTTATTTTTGAATGAGGAAATAGGGAAAACCTTAATCTCAATTAATAATTGGTTATTAATATAAGAGAAATAATCATTTCTCTCATCTGGCACATAACAATCACTTAGTAAATACTTTTTTCCCTCTTTCCTTCCTTTTTTCCTTCTTTCCTTCCTTCCTTCCTTCTTCCTTCCTTCCTTCCCCTCTAATACAGTAGAACTGAACTAGGCTCTATTTGTAACTTCAATATGCCCTGTCTATTGAATGCAAATACTGAGAGTAGGAGAGGTAAACCAAAAGATTATCAATTCTGGTGGTCCTTACAAGGATTAGAAGTAGCACAGCATAATGGAAAGAGCAGTGGATTTGGAGTCAAATACCCAGGTTCATATCCTACCTCTTTCATTCCTTATTTGACTTTGGGTAAGTCATTTTATTTCTCAGGGCTAGTTTCCTCATCTATAATATGAGGGGGTTGGATTAATGACTTTTAATCTCCCTTCCAGCTCCCAATCTATAAGCCTATGATGTCCAAAGTCTTTTCCGGTACATAAATCCATTGATTCCACAGCTCTCCCAACTCTCTGATGTATACTTCTGTCTGATTTTGGTTTCTAGTAAATAGTTGAGAAGGAACTAAGAAGAGAATAAGATTAAAAATAAAACTTCTGAGTAGTAAAAGTGACAGAAAAAGCATTTGATTTGCATGTGGTATTGCATAACACAAAAGCTCATATATTTCTTTTAAAGTGAGTGAAAAAAATCATTACTGTTTGTCAGGGAAGTAATGCTAGAGAATAAATTTTCAATGATCAAAAATGAATGAAAGTACCATAGATATATAATAATATGCCAATGTGTACATGACATTTATTACCATTTCATAGAATCTTATACCTGAAAGAAGACTTAGAAATGGTTTAGTCTAATACTCTTGATTTTGCAAATAAGAAAACTGAGGCCAGGCAAAGTTAAGTGACTTGATTAAGGCTGAGTTTGAAATTCAGGTGTCCTATCTCCCAGTCATTGGTTCTTTCCACCACAGCACTGCATCCTCCCCTCTGGAAAATCCTTGTGAAGTCTACTATTCAGAGTAATTTTAGTGGACTGAAGAATGAAACCAAAGGAAAGGAGGTAGTGTCTGGCTTCAGAGAAACCTTAACTTGAAATGACCCTGCCTACATGGTACAGGAAAAGAGATGGCATGAAAAAAACCTGGGCAATATAGCAACACAATTGCTCAGACTCTGCAAGGGTTTCCAGATAAGCAGATTTCTTTTAATATTTCCTGTGATTAACATGAACCAATAAACTGATACTGTTTATATCATCTAGAGTTTAGATGGAGCTGATTCTTGGTAAGATAAAAAATTCTGATTCCTAATCATGATACCATTTCATTTTTCAAGCAAAAGGAATAAAAGAATCAGTCTATAATCATTTACTAAATACACTTCTTCTTTTTCCAGTAATGTACTGGTTATTATGTAATATACAAAAGTAGAATCAATCAGTCATTTTTAGATGTCTCTTATGTGTAAGGTCCTATGCTAGGCACTGGGGATATGAAGACAAAAATAAAACTGTTCCTACTCTCAGGGAGCTTACATTCTATCAGGAAGGTGTGTGTGCATGTGTACAAAATATATACAAAACAAATGAGGTAATTTCTGGGTACAGGGAACATACTGAAGACATGATCCATGCTCCTAAGGAGATGTATTCTGGTTTTGGAGATAAAATGTGAATACATAGAATAACTAGAGAACTATAAGGACCAGTATGTATGGGGCATTCTATGTTGTTGCTCTTCAGTCATATCTGACTCTTTGTGACCCTATTTGGCAAAGATACTAGAGAGTTTTGCCACTTCCTTCTCCAGCTCATTTTTACAGATGAGGAAACTGAGGCAAACTGGGTTAAGTGACTTTTCCAGGGTCACATAGCTAGTAAATGTCTGACACAGAATTTGTACTCAGGTCCTTCTGACTCTAGGGCCAGCACTCTAACCACTTTACCATCCCAGAAAAGTGAAAGATCAGAAAGGACTCATGGAGATAAGTCTTCAATCAAAAAATTAATGATTTTAGCATTACAAGGGTTATTAAAGATGATCTAGTTCAAACCCTGCATTTTGCAGATGAGGATGATGAGATCCACAATGATTCCCCAAGGTCATATATTAAGTAATAAGCAGATATTAAGCCCAGGTTTTCTATACCAAATCTAATGTTTTTTCCCTCTCTCTGATATACCACACTGATTCCAACGTCTGTTAAAAAGACCCGGAGATTACTGGTGACTGACTTTTTTTTCTAATGGGATAGCAAGTTGGAGAGATTTGGCTGGTTTATGGTAAAAACAATACATTATATTTTAGACACTATGGATTTTAGGTGATAATGTTAATCCAAATAAAATATGCTGTAGGATCCTTGAGATATAGGACTAGAGATGAAGAAAGGCATAACCTGCAATTGTGGATGTTGGAATCATGAGTCACGAACTGAGTATACGTTTGCTGACTGGTTCAGGTGAAATTAGATTTTATTCTTGTGTTGGAGGGAGGTGGGGAGGGAGAGAGAGACACACACACAGAGATAGATAGATAGAGAGAGAGACAGACAGATAGAGAGACAGATAGACAGAGAGAGAGAGAGAGAGAATCTAAGGTCCACTAGTAGGAATATAAGAATAATGGACACAATGAAAAATTCCTCATTGTTAGAGATGAGAGGTTCTCTAGGATTTAAAACTTGAAGGAGCCTTAGATATCAACTTGTTCAATTATCATTTTACAGAGAAGGAAACTGAGGTCCACTAGGATTTAATGACTTTCATAAAGGTCATGAATGAACTGCGAATTCAAACCTAAATCCTCTAATACAGAACTTCACCTTCCACCCCCCCTACTCCTCCTACCCCCACGTACCCCCCATTACAGGATGCTGAACTCTTGGGAATATACTGCAAAGAATACATATCCCATTGGTTGGGAGGGTAAAACAAAAATGTATCTACTAACATATGTATTTGGTCTATATGTCTTATTTCGCCCTTATCACAGAAGACTCAGCTCTCCATTTGAACCTCGGGACTGGATCAAGTAATGGAATAGTGAAAGTAAAGAAAACCCAATTTGATGCTGCTTGCTCTTAAATAAAATGCCCACATATGCCCTCGCTTCTCAAAGGTCTTCGGTATCCCACCGGCAATAAATTACATACCCTGCAAGTTTTCACACTGGAGAAACCAATAGGGAGGGGGAATTTCTACAAGCAAAGAACACGGAACTAGGGCAGGCTGAGGAGACTGAAAGGGCAAACTATAAAGCAAGGAAACTGTTAAGTTCTGATTAGTTTCATGACTTTGCCTTCATGCCTGGGGAGCTCAATTGATCATGGATTCTATGACAAGCTAACGGGTAGAGAGAAGGGGGGAATTAGGAGGTGTGTGTGTGTGTGAAGAAATTCTTAAACTCTTTCCTCCAGCTTGCTGCTTTTCAAATGCAAATATCTAGCCAAGAAATGGATTGGCTGCAGCCCCACCTCTTTTAAACCCCAAGTCCTGATTTTTATGCAAAGGAATCCATCTGTATAGATTCCGTCAAAAGGCAAGAGGAGGAGGGTGCATGCATGTGTACATCTGTGTGTACGCGTGTGTATGTGTGTGTATGTGCGTGTGTATGTGTGCGCGCGCGCGCGCGAGCGTGCATTGACCGGGTGGTTTCCTTTTTGAATTCCTTTTCCACAGCCACCATTGGGTCTTCGGGAGGTACAAAAAGTCTCAGTGCTTCCTCTGGCCCGCTTCAGATAGAACTGAGAGCTGGCGCCAGGCGCGGTGAACCTCCTCTCTGGGCTGTTCTTCCTTCCCCCACCCCTCCTCTTGCGCTCTCCCTTTCCCTTTCCCTCTCCCTAGTGGAACGAACCCTCTCTCCGTACCTCTTGCCTATGAGAAACGGTTGGGCAAGACCGCGAGAGCTCCCTCCATGCATCGCCGGCTTCTGTCCTTGCAGCGCCGGAGAGAGGAGCGGGTTCCCTCCGCTAGCCGCCCACTCCACATCGCACCCGGACTAGCTCCAGCTTCTTGTGAATAGCGGATAGGAGGCAAAGAGGGAGGGAAAGAAGACGAGAGGAAGAGTGGAGAGAGGGAGGGGGGCAGAGAGCGAACGAGCGAGCGCTCAGGCTGGGGTGGGAGGGAGGGAGTTCTCTGCAGTCTGCTCGCCCAGCTAGCGAGCTCCGGGGGAGCCCTCCGCCTCCACTGGATGCGCCCGCCGCGCGGTGTGATGTGATTGGAGGGAGGGAGCCCCCTGTGCCGAGCGGTCCAGAGCACAGACTCGTTGCTGGGCGATGCAAGTTCATCCCGGAGCTAAGAGAGGCTTAGGCACATGTTTGAGAGCTGCCCGCGAGTTCTTTGCAGATGAGAATCTGTATTCATTTGGATTAAAATACCCACGCGGCTTGTGACTAACACCGGAGGGGGTACAACGGAATACCAGGTAAGAGGACCGGCATTCGTTCTTCTTTGGGTTCTAGGGTTGGAGCGTCTGTGTCATTTTTAAGGTCCTTTCAGGCTTCTCCAAGTAATGCCAGCCTCTGAACAGGAGAAAAGGAGCTTAGAATTTACTTACAATTAGCTTTAGAATTCAAAAGTTATTGCCATTTGATATGAAATGCTTCTATTGAAAACACGATATGTATATGGAGAGAACAGGACACTATCTTGGAAGCCTTTAGGAAAATACATCAGATGTGACGTTAGAAGTAGTTCCGAATAAGAGGAAATGTCCAAAGACTCTTCGGTCAGTCAACAAGCATTTAGATGAAGCCTTAGACACAAGGAAGTCTGGACAGTTCTTCACACTTGAAGGGGGTTGGGGGGGGGGGGTTGAGAGCGCCCGAGTTCTTTGCCTCCTCACTGGTGCCTGTAAAGCTCAATCTTTCTATTCAACACCAATCCTGTGTGGAGTTGTTGGGTTGAGGGTAAAAGGTTTTACTGTTGCAAGATAGATCTTCTTTTTCTTTCTCCCCACCCCCTTTTAAACTATAGGTGTCAAAAATGTTTTACAATTCGAAAATGTGAAACAAGTCACATAAGGCTTTATTTCTGTAATTAGTATTCAACTGATAAGGTTGGCTCTGCAGTGCTTTAGCCTTTGATTAGTGACCTCCTCCCCCTCCACTATGTTGTAGGTTGGGTGTATACCCAGGCATCATGCTTCTTTGATTTCAGTTTGTCTGACGCTTAGTTCGCGTTCCATACTGGCTGAAGTCCTAAGTACTCTGTGCTACAATTTGAACGACAGAGAAAGAAGCAATTGACTCTCAGAAGACCTTTCATACCCTTTTGTTGTCTTATGTACAGTTCAGGTGAGTAGGGGCTAGAAGCAAGTTCACTTTAGTGAGAAAATGGATTAACTACCTTGGGAAGGAGGGCCAGGGGCCAGGATTAGCAAAGCCTTTTGGATTCTGCAAGTTGAACCCCGTGTATATACTTTAATCCTTTCCCATTTGAAGAAAAATCTCCTGATTTATAGACAATTTATCAAGTGAAAGGAAAGACCTGAAAGAAAAAAAAACATGCACTTCATAATCCCTTTAACAAGACAGATTTCACTGTCCTCTTTCATATGGAAGTGAATAATCAGACTTTGGAAGCACACAAATGATGACATAGAAAAATATTGTGACCCAAAAGCAAATTTTAACTTGTCCCTCAACCTATTCATAAGACAGGGACATTTACTTTTTTGAAGACTTAACTATGACTCATTTCTTTTTCCTTCCAGAGAATACTTTTTTGTTGTTATTTTTCTCTGAAAGGAATTTTATAAGCGTTGTAGTAAGTGATAGCCATGTATACATTGCAGGTGTAAATGAGATGAACACCATTAAATACACACACACACACACACACACACACACACACACACACAACTGAACCTTGTTTTTAGAGTTGAATGGATCAAGAATTTTCAGGGTTAATTAAAAAAAAGCTAAAACAGTAGTTATTTTTATCAGGTTACTGCCTGGAATACCTGGCTAGTATGAAGACAGAAGACAGGTTGAGAAAAATAACTTAGTGGTGTCTAATTAAAAGTATGTGTTTCATTGTTACTATGTTTGTAACTTCACCTGGTTACCAAACATGACTTTCTATTTAATAGTCCTTGTTTTGACTTTGTGTTTATCTCAGCATTTTGCCTTATTTACTCTCTGTGTAGGAGAACTCCAACAGGTATTTTTTTCTTCTTTATTCTTGATGAGTTAAAATGAAAACACACTCAGGAAGAAATGAAGCAGAATGACAAACTGGTAACTTGTAGCAGTGAGAATAAGGGGGAAAAAAAGAAAAAAAAGAAGAGAAGGAAAAGCCTTGTTTCTATGTTAGTATTTAACATGGAAGCAGACAGCTGAAGCAATTATGTTAATATCCAAAGTTAATGGTCTTATCTAGTATGGCATGTTGAAAGTGTGTTGGTGGGACACACACACACACACACACACAAAACAATAATCAGTGTGCAGGCTATCTTCCTGCTAAAAGCTATTAAGGTTTCCAGCTTTAATAAAAGGACATTGTGCCCTTACAATGTAAGATATTATTGTAATTAAAGGCTGCTATAGGTCATTAGAACTGTGTTAACAATCAGCTGACAGCCGCATAACTCTTTCAAGTCTACTTTTATTGATTTAATAACACAGAGCTTTTACCTTTTCTTATAAAAGGGTGATTGTAAAGCATCTGTATTACTGCAATTTACCCTTGAATTGACTGGAGTCTTTAGTGGCCAATGAAGAAGGATATGCTGCACACTGAGTTGGCTTCTGTTCATCCTTCCTATGTATAAATATCCCCAGTCTGTCTTTTTCAGGTGTGTGTTGTGTGGTGTGTGTGTGTGTATGTGTGTGTGTGTGTTTTCACTTCCCTGTCTATCTGTACATTATGTAGCATTTTAGTTTCCTTGATAGCAAAGTCAAAAAAGCCTTCACATCATCCATGATGAAGAAAAGTGAGTATTGTTTGTGCTGAGTCAAATAATGCCTTAAGCAAATCTTTTAAACATCTTTTACAAGATGCTAAAAACATAAATTGTTCCTCTTTATAGTGGATAGTTATTGCTGAGTGGCCTCAACTCTCCTGGGCTCTCCAAGGTTTTAAACTGACTGTTGTAGCTGCTTGCATATGTATAAGTTCAGTATGAGCTGGGTAAATATCTGTTTGTTTTTTTTCATTTGATTGGCAGACTTCACAATTTTCTATTATATTATCTTTGTCAGTGGCTTCTGACTTGCATTACTTGATTATCCAAGGTTCGTGCATGAACGCCTCCACGCAGATACTGAGAATTTGGTTTTGTCATTAAGAATCAGTTGGTTTTAGATAAGGGTAATATCAAATAGGGCTGAACTGAGCACAGGAGAGGAAGGCATGTGAACCAAGGCCTTTTACGTGACAGTCTTTGATAAGCCTAACACATTCAGTGATGAGTAGCAATACACGAGTGCCTCCTCTGGGATTTTAGAGGTTCTGCAGGAAGATACCCTTTATCATTTCTCTCTCTTGGTATACTATGAGACTCTGCACTGACAAAATAGCCAGTGCAAATGAGTTTGTAGGGACACAGACAAACTCTCTTGTTCCAGTACTGTTACCAATGCTTGCTTTGCTTTACTGTTATTTTATAAATAGATTAGGTTAAAAATGATGCATTTATAGTCATATAAATCACATCTGATATAATATGAAGGCCAGGACAAATTTTGAAAAGCGTATTACTGTGTATACATGCACTCACAACATCTAAGGGAAAAAATCTTACACTAAAATAGACTTCAGCATTGTAATATTACATAATTAACTCTGAGGCACTCTGGTCTACTCCAGAATTGTTACTTTATTTTCTCTTTATGGCATATGGGATCCGTTTAGTTAATTGCTACCTATTCTTCCATTTCCTTGTTAAACCCATTAATTCAAGATAGAGGACATTTGTAGTTAACTTAGAGGGGCACTATAATCAATTTGGAGAAGTTTTCATTCCTTGTTTGATAACCAGATGCACACTACAGGCAAAGTACTTCATTTACAGGGCCCCTGCCTGAATATTTAGGCCAGTTAACTGTGGGAGATTGTGGTCTGTAGTTGGAAATGTTATCTTGCCCAGGGAGCTAATGGATTTGATCACAGTTTCTTGACTTGAGAAATCACAATTAGAGGGTCCCTACCCTCACTATTTAAAATAATAATAATAACTTTGTCTTTGAAGAGGAAAGGTGGGGATACATATCCTTATTATAGTTCTTGAAAATACTTAGAACCATTTAGTGGGTCTTTCAAAGAAATATTCTTAAGGAGAATCAATCAGAAAGTATTGTAGCCATGTCCGTAGATAGATGTCACTAAAGTTAGAAGTTATAACAACAAAATTTCCAATTAGAGTTGTTACTTTATTTTTTTACCAAACAATATCCTCAATACAAATATTTTATTCTTTTAAGTGATATTGCCCTAGGCTTGACCTTCTGATTCTAAGGTACTCAGGGTGGCATAGTTCAAGTTTTAGTGGTATTAGTCAGTTTGCAGAAAACCACTTTATGGAAGGAACCTATTTTATTAACATACTAATGGCATAGAAAGAAAATAATGGATCATTTGTACTATTGATTCAGAGAAGGCAGTACCTGCTACTTGGCATTGTTAAAATGGCACTTTAAGGAATGCTTTCAGTTGTTTCAGAGGTTGTGGTTAACCACTAGTTATTCCTTTTGTACAAAGAATCTAGGGCTTAGGGAGAGAGAAGTTGAAATGAAAAAGGAAGAAAAACTAACCTTGAATACAAGTCTGCTGACTCTCCCCTTTCTCCTGAAAAATCACACACACACACACACACACACACACACACACACACACACACACACACACAGAGGCACATGGGATTCTTCCCATCTCTCAGGGAGGGACAGCCAAGGTAGTATGATACTTTAATGAACATGCTCAAATTCTACTTATATACCTTATTAAGGTATGAAAAATTTAAATATTTACTTCCTTGACCTCCACAGAACTACAGGAAAAAAAAGTAGATTGCTCTCTGTCTCTACGATTGACCCATTTAAAACTAGACTTATTTAA